GGATTCCCACAAACAATGTTTGGAATATGCTGCTAGTGAAATCGGGAGGCTAAGTAGGTGGTACAAAAAGGTAATGCAAGACAAAAAGGAGATGGAAGAAGATTTGAGGGCTCAAATTCAAAGTTTGGCACAAGCTTCTCTAGATCAAGAAGACAAAATGAAGTATCTTACTACGAGACTCCAAGATAGACAACAATCATATGTAGGGGAACATCTCAAGAGCATAAGGGCAGAAACATTTCTCGCCCAAAAGACTGATGAATATGAGCAAGTGTGTCACAAATTAGAATACCTCTGAAAGAACTTCCTCATACAAAGGAAACTCTATACGGAGATGAGGGCTGAAAAATTATATTGGGAAGAACAATATGAAAAGATTGCCAAAGCAGGAAAGCATAATCATAAGATAATTCCAGACCTTCACCAAGAATATCAGTTCTACAAAGACAAACATGCAAAACTCTCCTTCTTAGCCAACAATCTCGTTGAAGACATCCCTAGAAGTTTGAGAGATGTGGAAAGTGTAATGGTTCCACTTCCAAAAGATATTGAAGACTTCCTCAAGCTTTGTAGGACTATGGTTGATAGTTTCAGGGCAGATATCCGCATGCGCACTTAGAAGATTTTTTTGTTTCCCTTTGTTATTCTTTTCCAGCAAGTTAAATGTGTTTGGTTTGAATATTTTTCAATATCTGAATTGTATTCTCTTTTTAAAGACAATTATTTCAATAAAAGTTTTGTTTCCATATCTCATTTGTATATTTGTTTTTAAGATGCCCGCCAATAAAAAAAGCAAAACCTGAAAAATATAAAAAAAACTGAAAGAGAATCCAAGTGAATAAGACATTCAAAAATGAAACTCTTAGCATACTCATACAAATTTATGCATTCATAAACATTGCATTTCATATAAAAAACTTATCTTTTTTCAAAAACCTTCTCCTGTTAAATCATCGGTAAGAAAACACCACCTCTTCGACCGCCATATCACACAAGGGCCCATCAAAAGAAAGTGATGAAACAAATCGAGGAGAATCAAGCCACATTCAAGGAAGATTTGGAGCATGTGAAAGGAAACATCGACTCGATGAAGGGAGATATGAGCCAAGTTCTTCTATCCTTGAAGAACATCATCGAAAGACAAGAACAGATTCCTAGGGAGGCCTTGAAGAAGTAGCTCAAACTATTGGTGCATCGAGCGGTCTCCAACCAAAAAGAGAACCAGGATCAAGACCTCAAAAGTCAGATGTAGCACAACAAGAGGTCAGACAAGATGATACTTAAGGTTTTTTCCTACCTCCACCAAAGGTAGGGGCATCCCATACTTTGCATATTCTGGTCAACAACGCGGATAACTACATAGACTTGCAGTATGGAGACCATGACCTAGAAGACGTCAATCAAGCACCTCAAAGGACAACCCATACTCATGCTACTAAAAATGCCTTGGCCCTCATTCAATATAAAGCTCTTGAAGAAAGGTTGAAGATTGTGTATGGTTATGATGTTTTCGGCGTTGATGCTCTTGAAATGGGCCTAGTACCGGATGTGGTGGTCCCACCAAATATCAAAGCACCTAACTTTTGGAAATATAAGGGGATTACATGCCTGAGGAACCATCTACGCATGTTTGCATAAAAATGCATGCCTATGCTCAAGATCAGAAGTTAATGATCCATTTTTTCCAAGACAATTTAAGTGGGGCATCCCTAGATTGGTACATACAATTGGAGCGAATTCATATCCAAACATGAGCAGATCTTGCCAACGCTTTCTTGAGACAATACAAGTACAACATTGACATGGCGCCTAACCGTATGCAATTCCAAAACTTGTCTCAGAAAAAGGAGGAGTCTTTCAAGGAGTATGCTCAAAGATGGAGAGAAATGGCAGCCCGTGTACACCACCACTATTGGAGAAAGAATTAGAAGATATGTTCATGGGAATTTTACAAGGGCTGTACTATGATAAGATGGTAGGGAACATCTCTTCTGGATTCTCTGATTTGGTGACTATTGGTGAAAGAATTGAAGGAGTGAGGGTTCCTCTTAGAACACAGTGAAGCTTTTGAGAAGACGTTACAAAAATTGGTGGATCAAGGGATAGTCCAATTCAGGAAATACCCTAAAGAAGAATACGTAGCTGCGATCGATGGAAGTTCGAATAAGCCATTGGTAATTCCTTGCCAAGGGTCAAACCTTAATAAGAAGACTCTTGTGATTCCATGGGGGGAATCAACAGAAACACCAGTGATGATACCACGCCAGACTCTGAGAATTCCAGTAGTTCCAAAAACTACAATGGTGGTGAGGGAGCCATCTCCTACACCTTACGAAAGCAACAAAGCAGTATCGTGGAGTTATGATTCTACTGTCTATGTCAATGGTTTGAAGCAAGAATGTGAGCCATCGAGAAGTAAAAGATCTGCGATCATAAATATAGTTGGAACATGGGGCATTACTCAAATCTATAGTCCCGAACTACTGAAGAAAATGATGCTTTGGTGAAGGATAAAGGAAAAGTTGTGATAGAGGCAAGCCAAGAACAAGAGCCTCCGAGGAAGAATTTGTTTGACCAAGAGGCAGAAGAATTCCTGAAAATAATCAAGAGGAATGATTATAGGGTGGTAGATCAGCTACACCAAGTCCGACCAATATTTCAATACTCTCGCTGCTCCTCAACTCAGAAGCGCATCGAGACTCTCTAATGAAGGTTCTAAGTTCCGTTCACATTGCAAAAGATACTACAGTAAATCAGTTTGACAATGTTATAGAAAATATGACATCCGAATCATATCTAGGTTTTAATGACAGTGAGTTGCCTCCACAAGGCAGGGCTTACAACAAGGCGTTGCACATTTCTATTCAGATAGGTACTACAAGCCTATCCAGGGTACTCACCAATACTGGTTCTGATCTCAATGTGTTACCAAAATTCAGCTTGATGAAGTTAACATTGGATGGTGTTGTAATAAGGCCAAGTTCTACGATAGTTAAAGCTTTCGATGGTTCTTAAAGTATAATGTTTAGAGAAGTGTATCTTCATATCAAGATCGGCCCGCATATGTTTTATATCACTTTTAAGTAATGGATATGAAACATACAACATTGGAGAGTCAGTGACACAAAACCAAAGGTTTAAAAGGAGAGAACATTAAAAAATTCACAACAAACATTTGGTGCATACACAAACATTTGGGGCATATATAAAATACTCGGTGCATGTATAAAATACATTACATTTGATTACCAAAACACTCTTCAAGTATATATCCTCTAGGTTGTGGTAGGTGTTGTACCCCAAATTTTGACCTAAGATCCCACCTCCCATCTGCATTATTACATAGCGAGTGTTCACAAGCGATTCGACCTTTTTTTGCCATTTCTCGGGTCAGATTTCAAGAATTCATAAATTCTTCGAATTTCGACATTTTTGAGAGGTCGTTCTTGCACCTGTTTTTTCTTGACATCATCTACAACTTTCCTTTACAAGTCAAGGGCAAATTATGCATTGAGAAGCCACGAAAATTGTTAACGTTAGAAGTCGTTTCAGGAATTTGATTCTTAATTTTGGACTATGTTTTATCCGACCATACATTTTACATCATCTTTCTTTTATTCTTATTTCCATAAAAAGAAAATCCTAAAAAATATTTAGTTCATGCTATTTTCATTTTATTTATGTTTTTATTCAAAATATTCAAAATAAAAAAATTAGTTTCCTTAAGTTTCATTTAGTTTTTGTTCTTGTATCATTTAAGCCAAAATTATAATCTTTTAGATTTAATTTAGTAAAAAAATCTCAAAAAATATGTGTTATCATTATTTTATTTTAGCATTTCACTTTAATTCAAAATCATAAAATATATAGTTAATATCTTTCCCTTTTATTCTTTTAGTTATTATAATTTTTGCTTCTTTCTTTTAATATTAGTCTTGATTTGATTCTAATTTTAATTCAATTGTTAAGTTGGGTTATTGTTAAAATTAAAATTAAAATTAATTAAAATTTCTTTTTTATTGTTCTTTGCAAATTTTAGTTTAATCTTTTTCCTTTTATTATTATTATTATTATTATTATTATTATTATTATTATTATTATTATTATTATTATTATTATTATTATTATTGTGTTTCAATAGTTTTTGTTGTTTTGTCATAATAAGAAATCAGTTTGGGACCATTCTCTTCATGCTACAATATACCCATGTTATGATGCTGTCAACTAGTCATGCTGCTGCCCTGTACTAAAACTTGCTACCAACCTGTCATAACAGTCCAAAAAAACGGTAACGTAATATAATGTTTATTCAAAAACCAAACTTGTTCACTCCAAAAAAGAGGACCAGATTGTCCCATTATAAAGATATACATTGCATCAGATAAAAAACAACAGTAATTACTCCTTGGAATTTCTTCACAAACCTATTAACTCCCATGTTATCCCTCTCTTCATGTTCATATACATCGCCAACCATTTATTCTAGACATAACCCATCACCTTCAGTAACAAAACTCTCCAAAAATTAGCAACAATCTTCCTCCAAGCTTCAACTTTGTCCATCATTACAGAAGCAAACAACAATAAACACAACATCAACACCGATGCCGTAACCTGCATAATATACGAAACAATAATACCAGAAACGAAAGCAAAACAAAGAGCAGCAACTTATCTTTCAGATCGACACCTCTTAGAAGTCTCAGAGTCGGTATTTTTCTTAACTTTTGTTATTCATACTCACTATCATATATGTCTGTTCGTTGTTCAGAACTTTCGAATTGATTTAGATTTCTACTCTAGCCTTTGCTTTCATCTTTTGTCAACTTTTTTTGATGTTGTTGTACATCCGCGAGAGAGAGTATTACCGAGTAGTCAGATGAGAACTGAAAGACAGGACGCTGTTGATATTATGGTACAAAAAGCTAATCAAGAATCATAATCACAGAGGAAATAACACATAACAAAAGCAGTAAAAACTCACCATCAATTTCATAAAAATGCAAATAATCCACTTTCATTCATCCCTCACCCAAGCATGTTGTTACACCATCTTCCTCCTCCTCCTAATTTCATCTCCGATAACCAAAACCCTAGCCGAAAACTCTCACGTCATCAATTTCTACTCCCCAAACCTCTATCCAGAATCCCTCCGCCACCACACCATCTCGTCCATCTCTGATGCCGGCATAATCGAAACGCTAATCTCCGACACCTCCCTCCCCGAAAACGTCACCGTCGAAGGCATAACCGTCGATTCACGCAACAACCGCGTCCTCGCTGTAATCCACGCCGTCAAGCCTCTCCCTCCTTTCAACGCCCTCTCCGCATACGACTTCAAATCCGGAAACCATATCTTCCTCTCCGCCCGATCCTTCGCGAGGTTTGCTGATGAGGATAAACAGACGAGAGATATGACTGAGATGCTAGATGTTTTGAAGTAGAATAGAATTGTTGGTGGTGGTGTTGAAACGCACAGAGTTAGAGGCAAGGATAAGAGGTTTTGGATGTTGAATAGAGAAGTGAGAGTGTCTTCTTTTTTGTTTTACTCGATAAATATTGAGGGAAGAGTTGTCAATAATGATTTTTGTTTCTCTTGTCTTTTCCCCTTTACTGTCAACCAACGGCGCCTCTTTATCTTAGGGTTTCTAACAACCTTTCTATTCTTCTCCCAATTGGGTTGACCCATTGGGTTGATAACCCATTTCCATTACCTCTTTTTATTTTATATTTTTAGCTTAATAAAAAGGTAAATAACGAATGAGTAGTGTGGTGTGTTGGTTAGCACGTTAGTTTGACATGCTTGGGGTCCTAAGTTCGATTCCTATTGAAATCCATTTATTCTTTTTTTTCACCCTTTTGTTTTAGGCCATTTAACTTTGTCTTATTATTTAAAATTTCCCAAAAAAATACAAATATATAAAAATAGGTTTATATTTAATTATTTTACCTCATAAAAAATATCGTAAAAATTATTATAATTGTCTTTCTTTTATTTTGATTAGTTGTTAGCTGTTTAATTTCTTTTTCGATTATTTGAGCTTTATATTTTGTTTGCGCCATAAAAACTATATTATAATTGTTTTATTTTATTTTGATTAATTGTTAGTTGTTTAATCTCTTTTCGATCATGTAATCTTTGTATCTCTCGTCCGTTTCAATCCAAGGGAATTGTCTAATTTTTTGTCGACTTTATGTCATCAAAAAAAAAACATCGTGCGAATACCCTCATTCATCAAAAACTTAAGATAATTTTTCCAAATCTTCAATCTTTTCCAAAACTTATACCTTTTAAGTCAAAACTTCGACATTAGGTCGTCGTACCTTCAAAAACCCGTCTGTACCCCTTTTCGGCCAAAACAATTTATTTTAATCAAACGAACATTTTAATAAACATATATTTCAAAAGGTTCCTATAGAGTACTATAGATACATTGGGTGCTAATACCTTCCCACTGTATAACCAACCCCCGAACCATAGACCTCTTTTCAAAAACGCTTTGTATTTTCAGTATTATTTACATTGCATATTTAGGGTTTTATTTCGTTATTTTCCCTTTTCCTTTGGAAACAATAAAGCGCGGTGGCGACTCTTGCTTCTGTGAGACGAATTAATCAATAATTCGATCTCCGATTTACCCCGCTACATTTTTTATCGCTACAGTAGGTATGCAAATTTCCAGGATTACGTTATTTATCCTCTAGGTCGTGATAAATATATAAGAATACCTCCGTGTCGTTTATCCTCTAGGTCGTGATAAACACACAAACTCTTCAATCATCTACCCTCTAGGTTGCGATAGGTGTGCAAACTATCGGGTTTACATTATTCATTCTCTAGGTCGTAATAAGTACGCGAATCTATCTTCGTGTCGTTTATCCTCGAGGCTATGGTAAATGCGTAAACTTTTCAATCATCTATCCCCTAGGTTATGGTAGATGTGCGAATTATCATGTTTATATTATTCATTCTCTAGGTCATAATGAATACATAAATCTACCTTCGTGTCGTTTATCCTCTAGGTCGTGATAAACACACAAACTTTTTCAATTATCTATCCTCTAGGTTATGATAGGTATGCAAATTTTCAGTGTTATTCATCCTCTAGGTTGTGATGAATACATAAGCCTATCCTCGTATCATTTATCCTCTAGGTCATGAAATGCACAGGCTCATCCTCATATTGTTTACTCTCTAGGTTATAGTAAACATAACGAAATCTGTGATATAATTCATTGTGTCAGCCTCCATGCGATAATGTGTTGTCAAGTTCTGTGTTATTCATCCCCAAGGTTGTGATGATTAGACAAAATCTATGTCTTAAGCTTACTATATTATTCTTGAAGCATTAGTAAGTCAATTTTAAACTTGTGTTATTCACCTCCTAGGTTATGGTGAATACGCAACAAATCTACGATCTCTTTTAGATATTGACGAGTTATCTGCGTCACCATATCTAAGTTAATCTAAATTTTTGTTCAAACTCTGACAAGATGATACGTCATCACACGTGCCTACTTTCTCAGTACTCATAGGAACATTGTACAACATATCCTTATAATCTTTTGGTCAAATTTCAGGGTCTTCCATTATTTAATAACCCTCCAATTCGAATGTGTGAGACCTGCGTATTCTCGAAACATTCAATCGAAGAGTAATTAAATAGGAGTAACTATCATACCCCAAAATTTCCCTACTAGTATTACTAACCCATTCTTACTTTTTTCACTAAATCTTAGTGTTATTATATTTCTTTAGTTAAAATTAATTTATATTACACTAGTTGTTATTTTAAAAATTGCTTCTAGATACAATGGGGTTCAAATAGTAAAAGGGGTGTATTGTCTCCAAATGGACCATTAAAATCTGATGGCCCATTAAGTTTTTCTTATAATTAGAGCGATGGTGCATTTGGTATTTTGATTTCAGTCCATTAACTTTTTAGGCCCATGAAGGGTTTTGTGATCCATTTCAAACAGATAATGGAAGAGGGTTGTTGTACCCCAGTTTTTGCCCCTAATATCCCTTCATCATACCATGTTGATTCAATCACAACAAGATCACATTAGTGTTCTGGGTTCTCCTCCCTATCATTAGCTTTTCTCTTTGAGGAATCACCAAGCACCTTAATTTGTTTTCTTTTGTGATCATGAATGTTTTGTCTTGATTTTTCCTTTTAATTAATAAAATTCAATGTTGGTTTGTCTTACTTGTTACTAATGTAGGTAAAGGAAATGAGATTTAGCAAGTTGCTCCATGGGTTCATGGGTTTATTTCCATGCCTTAGGAAATAAAGCTTGAGAAGTCCAAACCTCACCATTGAAGTTGTTTTGGAAGGGATGGCATGGCAAGGTCATTTTATTTCACTACCTTTCCAAGATATCAAAATTGATTCAAAAGTGAAAGGGATTGATTGAAGAAGTTGACATGGTTGGACAAGGTCTTGTTCCTAATAATCACAAGTGCATATTTCTCTCAATTATCAAGATATGGAAGTGGTTTTGGTGTCTATGAGTTCTTATTTTCATCCTCAACAACTTCTATTTAAAAAGAAAGGGTGTTGGTACAAGAAAGTGATTCAAATGTGTCAAGGTTCCTCAAAGCATTTTCTTGATTTAAGAGCTAGGGGTTTGAACTTCAAAAAAGTATATCTTGCTCGTATTTTGGTATTTTTGAGGGATTCCAAAGACATACTTATATTCAAAGGGTTATTAATAAATCACTTCAAAAGTTTCAAGGATTTTTCATGTTGAAGAAACTTGATGATGAATAAAGATTACAAGTCCTCCAAATGAACCCCCAATTTCTCATGTGTGACTTCAAGTGATCATAACTTGGTCAATTTTAATCACCTTGAGCCCACTATTTTTCCATAATGATCTTGAGGATGTGAACTATATGCCTTCTTTTATGTGAAAAGTTAGAAAATGTATGGAAGATGCCCTAAGGATGCAAACGATTATAGGTCATTTCGTGATTTTTTGCCAACTTCAATAATTCATAACTCTCTCAATTATTGGATATTTTTAATGGTTAAAGTTTTAAAATGTCATTCAAGAGGTCTATTTCATGCCATCTTTTTTGGTCAAGAGCAAATTCCAAATGGAAAGCCATGTTTGGATGCAAGACATTATAGGTCACTTTTGAAGAATTTTTTTGAAATATTTCTAACTATGGAAAGTCAACCTTTTTTCCCCAACTTTGACTCAATGTAACTTTCAGCTCAATCATCCATTTGATTCCATTCTTTTTCCATTGCAAAGCTTGTAACCTCATCTTTATAAAGCATCAAGAATCATGCCCTAAGACCCATTGAGCTGAGAATGCCATTGGATTGAACGCGGTAACTTGGAATTGAAGTTTCTTCATAAGTCAGAATTTGAAATTCATGTTTTGGCCTCTAAACATCAAATTAGCATGCGTTTGTGATCTAAACATGTTTAACCAAGTTGCCAAAGTGGATTAGAGCCTTAAAACGCAAGGATTGGGTGAGTTTTAATGCAAATCAGATCACACTTTGCTCGTGCATCAGGTTCACATGATTTCCCTCCAAACTTCATCAATTCACACGCTTGAACATTCCATTTGATTCCCTATAAATAGAGGGTTATCCCACATTCATTTCCTCAAGCTTTGAGAACCAAAAACACTATGTCAAAACCTCACACGAACTTCAAATATTTGAAATCAGTTTTTGAGATTCCAGCCTTTTCTTCCAAAATTCTTTGCACATCCATCTTCCTTAAGCATCATACAAACTCTCCAGCACTTAAACCAAGCAAAATGAGTTATAATTTAAGCTACAGAAGTCCAATTTCAGAGCTTCTTTCTTGAACTTCGAAAAGGTATAATTCTTCACCATTTAGATCCAAATAAAGCACTAACCTGTTCTACTCTTTCTCCTAATTCTAGTGCTTCTTACAATTTTTAAATCCATTGAGAATTGAGAGAAATCTCAAATTGAAGGTGCTCGTTATTTTCTGGGTTTTTGATTCATATCTCTTTGTATACCTTATGTAAATTTGGCGCGATGGTGGTGTTAGGATCGTCTTGAAGAGACGAATCCAATGATACTGGTCTGGGATCCTAATTTTTCCATTTGAAAGATCTCACAAAATCTCAATTGCAGGGTGGCTGGAGGTTGAAGACGATGACATGTCTCGTCTCAGCCAATGATAGCGTGCCAAACGTTTTAATTTGATTGGTTGCCCTTTTCCTGATCCCCTGCGCATCTTACTAAGGTCCATATTAAGCACAACGCGGCTGGTCCATTGGATTAGCTTACTAACACGTTTTTACTATGATCTGATGGCCCATATCTTTTTGGTTTTATTTTATTTTCTGATTTATATTTTAATTGATTTAATTTTCAAAAATTCATAACTCTTTTATTTTTTATCCAAAAAATATGAAAAAATTCACAAAAATACTTTGATTATTTCT